TCAGGATGTGGTTGTGGGTGTGTAGGCGCTGATGTAGAAGTTCAGGATGTGGTTGTGGGTGTGTAGGCGCTGATGTAGAAGTTCAGGATGTGAATACATGATGGGTAATTGCCATTGCTAATGTAAAAAGGATACATACCCTAAGCACTATGCCGTCTCACTCAGCTCCACGATATGTTGCAACTAATTACGCAAATTAGGTTTTTTATTTTAAAGATCAATGAGATCATGAACCAAAGTTCTCTTAGAACTTTCATACCGGGCCGAAAATTCCGTGGGCCGAAATGCATGTAACCCTGATGTATGATTAAATTTTAAAATTGATATATCATCAACAAATGATCGTTATGATTTCATATTTGAAGATGTTGTGGATTGTACATTGATATATAGTTATTTTTCTTTATTTATTATCTATAATTTTATTTAAAGGGAAATGGTTACGAATCTGATATAGCTATTAATGATGTTGCATTAAGTCAAAGTGGTAATTGTGCTTTTTTTACTTCAATAACTCAAGTACTTGTTACACCATAAGAAATTATTTATGAATGTGATTTTGAAGAGAATACATTCTGTGATTGGCAAATAGAAACAACTGATAAATCATGGACAATTGCATTTGATCCGACAGCATATGCATATGTATCAGTTGAATCAACTGGTGGTCCTGTTTATTTTTCTACGTTTGATTTTCGTTCAATATCAAAAGGTGACACATTTTGTTTTGATTTTTGATATCAAACATTTGTTTCAAGTGATAGAACACTTAATGTTCGTATGCAAAATGAAACATCAGCAGCTATTGCTATTTGACATTAACCTGAAACAACACCATGTAATCAATGGACACATGGTTCAGTTAGTTTAGGAACTATTCGTGACTCAACACATTCAACTATTTCAGGTAAAATAGATTGTTTATTTTATACCTGTTGTTGTTGATGATGATGTGAAAATTTTTAATAGTATATGTCCATCACCACGTGTAGGCAAGTTTGAAGATTCATTAATATGTGTTTATCAAAATGATGCTACAGTTGGTTTTACATGGTCAAGACATAGAGATGCGATTTCACCATCAACAACAGATGCTACAAATGGTACGTTTGAAATAATTTTATTTTTATTTAGATCATATATGGACCATGCCGGGCAAAACGGGATATACCTACCTTTTATTTGACTTTGATTCTTTATAAGGATAGTTTATATGAATTAAAGTTATCAATGACGTATAAAATTAACCACGTAAATTTTGAGCAGACTGGAATTAATATATAATAAAAAATTCTTTGCACCTGGCTTTTATTTATAATAGGTCATTTAATCGAAATCAAAATCTTGAATTCTATATGTAATCAGCATATCTATGAAAAAAAAAGAATGATGTCAATCATAGTTCTATTTGAAAATCTTACTTAACCGAGTTAAATAAATTATTCAAATATTTTATTTATCATACTATATTTTCTGTAGATTTGGTTGATGAATACATGACTTATACACTTTTCTTTTGAAGAAAATTATGTGTAAAAGAGACCTTGATGAAGAAGATTTTCTTTTATTTGATAAAAATATCCATAGGTTAGACTAGATACATGTCTTAATATTATTGCACATGCATACGTTAATTATGAAATAAACAAACATTACACCATTTAGTATTGATATTGTGCTGTTTTTGTAGCCTTGATTCATTAATGTATTACACTATCTTTTTCTCTTTCCTTTTTCTTTTTTCAATGTTAACATAGTAAAAGCAAAAAAAGGCCATTCCGTGAAGTATAAACATACAAGTTATGCTTTTGCTATTGAAAAATATATATATATTATATTCGAAATCAAGCAATTTTATCTGCTTTTTTGACTGTATATGTTACAAAAAAAGAACGCGAGTCACAAGTGTTGCAGTCACATGATACTCGTCATCAAATCGTAGGAACCATATTATAAACAAAAAGAAGTATACTGGGATACCTATACACACACATTTTACTGAAAGAACTAAAAGCTAGAACGAAACAGAAAAACTCGATAAAACAAGTGAGTTACTTATATTTGACTTTCATGTAGAACGAAAAAGTACAAAATATATGACATCGAATATTACACAATTTCAATAAATAAAATGATCGTGTATTTTTTGATTATTTTTCAGTTAATTTTTTAGTAAATATTAAAAAGCGAAGTATTTCATTCTCTTTATTTTTTCTCATTGTCCAATTATTAAGGAAAAACAAAACATATTGAACAATTCAAACACGTTTTCCTATTAGCTTTTTATGACATTTTGTCTAAGAAAAGATATCTTCATATATATATCAAAAGCAGAACTAAAATTTCCTTTCTGTCACCATTTTCCTCGAGATTGCAAAAAATTTTGTAGAATATTCAACATTTCTAAGAAGACAATGAACATACTATTCCTTCCTTGCACTGGAAGCATAGGTTCATTCTGTCTCTATGCAATGTTCTACAACATTGTCCATATAGTACATTTTATTTTGTTTGGTTTGTTTTTTTAAAGAAGAAAAAAAATACAATTATCGTAATAAGAACAAAGTATGGATGGTATAATAAAAAGAAAAGAAAAACAGCATACACACACAAAAGGAGAAATAAGCTATCTGCACAGTTTCCATCAATCGTGCAAATAAATAATTATTATCGTCGAATGAAAACCACTGTTAAGAGACCTATATAGGAAAAAAAACAAAGATAAATCTCAACATAAATCAAAGAAAAAAAAAATATTTACCGAGTATATAACTTGCAATTACTTTTGAATTAGTAGTCATATGTAAATATGATGGTATACGTGTACTGAAACTACTATTTTCATTATCTGGTATTGTTGGTAATACAAGAACAAATGCACATAGGGCACCAAGTATAGTTAAAATAATAACAACCACTGGATCTCCTTGAAAAAAAAACAAATCATCATAATTTTTATTTTTCAATAAAAAAAACAAAATTTTGTTTTTGAAAAGTTACGTGTTTCTTGTTGTGTAACAGTTATTGGATTAGTTGTTGTCGTTGTTGTTGTTGTTGTATTCGATCGATTTCTTCTTGTTGTACCAGTTATATTAGGTTCGTCATCAAAATTTTGTTCCAATGGTTTATAAGATAAAATTGAACAAGTTATATCTCGTTTACCTACAAAAAAAAAAATAATAATAGAATTTATTTGTTTTCTTATTAACTAATAGAACTCGTCGAGGTGGTCGCGACCCGATAAGCTCTAGTCATCTGATAAATATGTCAAGTATGCTAGTCATCAAATCCATAAGATCGAAAAAAATGATCTCATATCTTCAAAGTGATAATTCAATTTCGATTAAAAAATTTTGAAACTGATGATAACATCTACTTACCAATAAGATCTTGAGATTTTCGACGATCAAAAAATTGTACACGAATTTTATGCACAACATTCTGATTTGTTGATGATGATGATGTATCAAGAAGACGTACAATACTAATAAAGATAAATCTTATTATTATTAATAATCATAATAGAATTAATTTATCTTCTTACGTATCTACAGAATGTTGTGCACGAATTTCTCCTTGTGGTTCAGCAAATGAATATTTTTTTGGAGCTGTACATAATACTAAAATAAATCAATAGATAAAATAAATAAAAAAAGAAAGAAAGAAAAATTCTATTTACCTTTATAACGAACAACAAAGTCGTATGGATTGTAAAGTGTTAATACTTGAGAGAATGAACTGGGATCATCTAAAATAAAAATTAAAAAATGTAATCAATTATAATGATACAAACAGCATTTTTTCTTACCAAGATAGAATATAAGTGAATTTGATGAACAGAAAAAAGGTAATTGTGAAGCATTACCAGTTAAATGTGTTGGTAAGGACATAAATACATCTGTAGTATACAAAAATGAAAAAAAAATGAGTTGAAAGCAATTAATAGCACACGAGGTATCCGTCAGTCAATGACTCATTAAAAAGCAGCTGACGATTACAGAAAAATAAATATAGTCCATTCATTTCATAAATATTACGAACTGCATTCAATATGAATTTATTACATTAGACAAATCAAATGATGAAAGAACCTATCAATTCTATAGAAAAATCTACAAAAATTATTGGTAAATCATCCATCTATAATATACAACGACATCTATCATGAATTGTCGCTCTGTGAAAGTTTATTTGTATATTAAACACTCAGACCCAACTGTTGAATTACCGAAGTTACTAAAATCTCTGGAAATAAATTCAATGATATTCTTTCTATTCGATTTCCATGTTCGAAAATTTCGTTTAAGCTATAAGGGCTCGATATGATAATACATTTTTGACTTGTGGGCACTAGTATGATCATTTGTCTGAACAAAATAGCCATTTATTCCAAGACGATCAAAGAATTATTAATATGAATATCAAGAAATAGAACTGATATTTGATCAATCAAATATAATATTACTATCATATTTCTTTATGTGACAAAATTCTCTTCAGATAATAATAAACTCAAGAATGCAATATATATATAAATCAACCACAAAAAATCATATGATTCTGTTCGGTATAATGTCAATATGAAAATCTTCAATTGGTTAATTAATATTAACATAAAAATCTATTTTAAATAAATTGTTCAACATTAATATTACTTTGAGGAAAAAAATTTTTAATGTGTCAGAAAAAATTCGTTTTATCTTCTAATGCCATCTGTATTTCATTTCGGATTGGTTAATTGTTAGAACTGTTTATGTTTATCAAGTCCTTTCGATTATCAAATTGGTTTATCCTCGTTTCATTTAATACAAATGGCTGAAATATCAAATGAAAATAATATGTAAGCATAATATCATGATGATTGGTGTTTTTTTTGAGTTATTTTCTTTCATTTGTTTTTTTTTCAGTGGAAATTGGTCACTACCAAATCTACAAAAAATTAACGTTCAAGAATTATATACTCGACAACGTCAAAGTTTACGTCCATGGTTTGAATTCTTTAATACAGCTAAATTTAAACCACCTGGAAATATTGGAACAGGTATTTAGAATATTAAAATTTAGAATTAAAAATATTTAGATTATTTTTCTAAAGCTACTCGACGACTTATTACTAATGTTGAACATTTTCAAACAAATTATGTTATTATTATTATTATTTTATCAATCTATTGTGTGTAAGCTTTCATTGCTTGTTTGTTTTTTCAATAAAATATTTTTTCTCATTTTTTATTTAAATTAGTGTTACAACACCATCTTTACTTTTTGTTCTATTAGCAATGGTTGCTGGTTGTTATTTAGTTAGTATAAAAAATCGAGAAAAACAAATAACACTTATGGGTATGTAATCTTATTTAAATATCTTAAATGAAAAAACTAATTGATTAAACTATAATCGATTTTGTAAAAGTGTATAATACATTCGACGAAGATAAATTGATCGTTTAATATCCTTAATTTTATTTCCATATAACACAGCCTCGTTTTTTTTACTCCATAATAATTATATTGAGTATGTTTATGATGATTGATCAACTTCAGTGTAACACTCGAATTACTGAAGCCTGGTTCGATTCGAACTCAGATTTGAGTGAGACATTTTTGAATGAGATATCTCCGAGACTATATTCAACGAAGTGTAAAATGTAGGAACATCTTATTTTCTGTTATATGAATTTGTTTGCAAAACAATTTCGATAGAATCTAGAAAACTGATTTTTTTCAATCGACCTTTCACT